GGCAAGGCCTGGTTCCTAGTCTGTGCTCAGAACTATTTGCTGAATATGTGCTTATTGAAGATGTATGCACACACACACAGAGATAGGCATGTGGACATACATCTTTACTTTTTTCATTTTGCCTTTGGCAAGTGGAAATTTTGTCACCGGTTGGCATCAGTCATCTGAAAGGTGTGTGGGTTACACACACACACACACACACACACACACACACACACACACACGCTGGATTAAGTCACAGAATGAATGCATCGCCTACCATTTCCTGAGAACTTTGTGTCAATAAACACTTCTCACAAAATATTCCAAACCAGAATGGGTTTCTCTACATCGACTGTATTTCATAACCAAACCATGAGGGAAGGAGGGAGTGAAAAACAAACTACCTGTTTGCTTTTCCGTGGCACCACAGTGCCCTCTTGCGGTAAAATCAGTACTTGTGTACGAGTCAATTTTTATTTTAAAACATGTTACTTTATGCTTCCAGTAACATTAAAACCTGTACTGAGGCAAAATTACTTGGAAAATCTACCCAAATATGTACCTGGTTAAATAAGAAACCTGGCCAGTTGTATTGGTGAAAAAGATAAAAAGAATGACCAGTCACAGAACTCTCCATAAGTCCCACATACCAGGAAATGGTGAAATGCACGAAAGCTGCTCTTTGGATTTAATATTCTGATCATTTCTGTTCATCCTCTGGTTAAACAAACGCTACTTTTAAGTTCAGGTAGAGTTGTACATACAATTTACAACACTTTTTTTTTTTTTTGGTCTAAAACTGGCTATACTCTTTGCTGCATTCAACTCCTTTTTTCACTTTTAGTATCTTCTTTTAGTTTCCTCATGCACACCATTCTTTGGAACTCTGTGTTTCGGTTGTTGTTTTAAACTTTACAAGCAGCCGAAGCCGGTTTGGCTCAGTGGTAGAGCGTCAGTCTGCGGACTGAAAGGTCCCAGGTTCGATTCCAGTCAAGGGCATGTACTATATTAATACATTGGCTGCGGGCACCTCCCCGGTAGGGGGTATGCAGGAGGCGGCTGGTCGATGTTTCTCTCTCATCGACGTTTATGGCTCTCTATCTCTCTCCCTTCCTTTCTGTGAAGAATCAATAAAATATATATTAAAAAAAATAAACTTTACAAGCAGTGATAAATCACACCCAGAGTGGGTTTTGAATTAAACGATAAAAAAATGTGACCTCGGTCGTATCAGACAGTGTTTGCAAACTTCAGTTGGATACACTAAGGTCCTGAGAGGGGAGAGGACGCCTGCACTGAGGCAGAACTTTCTGGCTCTACGGATGAAGGATCCATAATGCTTCGTCGGGACACAGAGCAGGAAAAACTGACTGCCCATAATGCTCCTAATGAGGACGATCTGTGGGAAGGAGAGAAGAATCACAATTTGGAAGGAAGCGCGAGAGGCTCACAAGTCCTAATTCAAGGGCTCTATTTGGGGTTCCCAGGACGCTTTAAAAGGCAGTCTGATTGTAATTGGCTGACCGCTCATTTCCGGGGTGTAGGTTAAAAATGTAGAGTGCTGCCCAGCTGGCATGGTTCAATGACTGAACTTCGACCTATGAACCCACAGGTCATGGTTCGATTTCCAGTCGGGGCACACGCCCAGGTTGTGGGTTAGATCCCGGTGGGGAGCATTGCAGGAGGCAGCTGGTCAAGGATTCTCTCTCATCATTGACATTCGTCTCTCTCTCCTTCTCTCCTCCTTTTTAATGCCTGTGCTTGGAGCTGTAAGCCGAGCCTCTGGCTGAGTGGCACTCCCCCTGGTGGTCAGTGCGCACCATAGCGACCAGTCCTTCTGGTGGTTCCACTGTAAGGGTCACTTAGGCTTTCGTTATGTAGACATGGCTTTAAAGGTATACTTGATTTGTGCTCATTCAAAAAGCCGTATGGATTATGTCCCACCAGACCAGTCTGCTTCAGAGCAACTCCAGGAAGTACCATGAGAGGCAGGGAAATCTGGTTGAGTAAGAGGCTACTGAAATTAGTATGCAACACCTAGACATCCTTGTCCATCAATGACAAATTGAACCTGCAACTGAGGTACGTGCCCTTGACCTAGAATCAATCCCACAACCCTTGGGTCCATAGGCCAATGCTTAAAAGACCTGGCACAATGTCTTTTCTTTTTTTAAAAATAGGTTTTTTGTGTTTTTTTTTGTTTTGTTTTGTTTTTTAGAGAAAGGATGTTTCTATCAGAGTCCTAGATAGAAACATGGATGAGAGGGACATCATCGATCGGCTGCCTCCTGCATGCCACTTACTGGGGATCAAGCCCACAACCCAGGCATGTGCCTTGTCCAGGGATTGAAGCATGACCTCCTGGTTCATAGGTTGATGCTTGTCCACTGAGCCACACTGGCTGGGCCCCACATCTTTCCCACATCACTAACTTGAACTCTGGTTATGGAGAGCGTTTGGCTCACTTACACAGTAAGTACCTTGTGGAAGGCAGGAGACATGGTGCCAAGCAAAGATCTCAGCCATCAGAATTCCCAGGTTCAAGTTCTGATTCCAACTCAAATCTTGTTTGAGTTTTAACAAAGAAATCCCTTCACTTCTTTGACCCTCAGCCCCTGCAGTGTAGAATGGGGACGGGCGGGCCTCGCACCACGAACAAACAGGGCAGGGATGAGGGTGCGAGGGGGCGCACCAGTGAAGGGCCTCGGCTCTCCCCTAGAGAACCGGTAGATTTGTCGCACAGAGCAAGGCCAGTGATGGAAGGGCCCGTCCCCAGGAAACGCCAAGAATCACCACGACTGAGCTCGAGACACTCAAACCGCTTTAATGTTATGTTACAGACACAAGCTCTGTTATTCATCTCGCCGCCCCCACGGTCTTCAGCCTCCACGGTGTCCCGGGCCAAGAAATTCCAGCTCACACACCAGGGAGCGAGGAGCGGCCAGCACTCCTCCGGGGCTGTAAGTACACGTCTCAAGCACTGACCGGGCCCTTCCTAAGTTCTCCATGTGCGTCCGGGACCTGGCCTGCTCCGCACAGCAGCCCAGGGAGTGGGGGTCTCTAGGCCGTGAAGGGGGGACCGAGCATGGAGACCAACCTCAGAGCTGTTTCAGAGGCAGAGCCGGGCTCGGCTCCAGAGCCGCACTCCGCCGCGCTGCTGGGCGGCGTCCCTGAGAACAGTCCTAGCGCAAGTCCCGTGTTTCCAGACCCACGCCGGGATGTTAGAGTTGATACAATTCCACCTCCTCGTATCATAACGGTATAAACCAAACCTTACATACTGCATAGGCCTACAAATCATTCAGTCAGCAAAGCACACTGCCTGTGATAGAAATGATACTCCTTTTAACAGATCCCGAGACTCAAAGAATACTCCTAAGAAACAGAAACAGAATTTTGTATCAAAAGCAAAACTTTCCAGCTTCCTCTCGGCCGAAGGAAAACGGAAAATTCAATCTGCATTCCAGGCAGGTTTACAATGAACATGAATGGGTGACGTGGCGGTACGTGTCAAAATGCAAAACCTCCCAATCTGCTTCCAGGATCTCTTACAGAAATACCAGTAGGAGGAAACAAAGACAGCTGTGCCAGATGTTTACTAAAGCAGTGTGTATACCAGCCAAACTAAAGCAAGCTGATAGCCATCCCGGCAGCTGTATGATGGCACAAACACAGGAGGCAAAGCCACGCAGCTGGTTAAAAGAACGAGGTAGCTCTAGATACATGGACACATAAGGATAGCTTGGGTACATTAGTGAGAAAAAGGGTGACAGAATATGTGCAGTATGCTCTTATTTTTATTTAAAAATAAAGTGTGTGTGTGTGTGTGTGTGTGTGTGTGTGTGTGTGTGAGTGACAATGCTGTGGAGATACAGAAAAGCCTGGAAGAATACATACACACACTTCCTTGGGAAGAAGCAATTGGCTGGGGGTGGGAAGGTGGGGAAGGTGGGGAGAGCAGTGAGGGAGCAGGCATCATCTCTCTTGTTTTGCTTTTAGAAGTCTATATAGTAGTTGGAAGTTAACAATTACTTTTGAAATACAAAGATCTTGGAGACTAATTTCTTAGAGGAAATAGGATCGTTTCTAAATGCTCTCAAACTGAAACGTAAACTCCTTTCTCCCTCTCAACTAGGCGGCGAGGGCACAGGAAGGACAGCTCTGCCACGAAACCCAGTTTAAAAGCTCTAACGGCGCTAAACTGAGTCGTGCACTAAAGGCTGGCAATGCTTCTACCTTCAGACGAGGTCATAAATGTCCAAATAAAGGCTTTTATCATTATAGATCTTTAAAATGTGTAAAATAGACAAAACAGGTGACTTAAAGCTGCGTAGTTTCGCTATATTCAAAGCCGGCCTTACTTCCTAATGGTTTGAGAACTATGAATCTAGTGTCCAGATGTAAATGCCCATCCTGAAAGTGGCATAGCCAGTGAGCTCTGATCCCATTCACTGAACTCTCCAGCTGAACTGCAGTCTGAAGGGACGCACACCACATACGCCTCTGCACAGGTCACTTTATTCTCTCCTGTGGATGTCAACAAAGCTCAGAGATTTCATTGGAAACATTGAGAAAGCACATACCTGAATATTGTCACATTTCTTTACATCACGATTCAGTAACCACTAAACAGTTATGTCTACTAAATATAGTGAGCAAAATGGCATAAATGTTTACACCATTCCCTTGTAAACAAGGCTTTTGTGCACAACAGTAACAAATGGAATTACGAATATCACAACATGGATGAGGCGAGACCTCTTTAAATAAACTATCCTATTTATAAATAGACTCTGATTTTTTTTCAGTACACATTTACAGACCTGATCAATAAAAAGAAACAAGACATACATTTTTCGTTGCAAAGAAAATGTCTGGAAATGGACCGCGATGGGAGAATTCACCGAGGAAGAGGGTCAGAAGCAAGCAAGGGTGAGAGAGTGGAAAGCACTGCCATACTTCAGCCTGTTTCGGTGAGCATTCGCCCACACAGGGGACGGGGCTGTGGGGGACTCTTTTCACTTGAATTCCAGCAAGTTGCAGTCGATCTTGTAATACACATAGGGGTAGTATTCCTGCTGGCTCAGGTTTAAGCCGGGGATGTCCATAGGCGCCTGTGGAAATCAGACAAATCGCTCGATTATGTACTTACAGAAAAAGCAAGCGAAGAAGTCAAGTATTACCATGTACCTTCCCTTAAACACCTCCTCTGGACTCAGGTTTTGCGTTTCTGCTAATCTAATTTGAGGTAGGCCTTATCACCTCCATTTTGCAAATGAGGAAACCACCTCAGGAAGGAAATGCAGCTCAGTAAGGCCCAACTTCAAGCCTGCTGACTCCAAAGCCCGTGTTCTACCTGACCCTGCCATCCCGTTTTATGTGCGCTGTAAAAAGTTATTTTTAAATCTCAGGCTTGGAGTATTGCATTTACAGGATAAAACATAAATAAATAAAGTATTGGATAAAAACAAGCGAAGGTTTGTTTTAAAGGTATCATATTTTACATATGTGTGTTATAAGAATTTACTGTTAGGGCCGGAACCAGTTTGGCTCAGTGGATAGAGCATCGGCCCGAGGACTGAAAGGTCCCAGGTTCAATTCTGGTCAAGGGCATGTACGTTGGTTGCAGGCACATCCCCAGTAGGAGGTGTGCAAGAGGCAGCTGATGGATGTTTCTCTCTCATCAATGTTTCTTAACTCTCTATCCCTCTCCCTTCCTCTCTGTAAAAAATCAATAAAATATTTTTTTTAAAAAAGATTTACTGTTAGAAATTTATGTAGCAAATATTTAGACCTTCTATTTTATCAACAATTCCATGAAAATGCAGAATGTTATTTCTTGCATTTTTATCTATTAAAAAAAAACCCTGCCCTGACTGGTTTGTTGGTTTGTCGGCCTATTGGCCTGCAGACTCAAAGGTCCCAGGTTCGAATCCGGTCAAGGGCATGTACCTTGGTTGCAGGCACATCCCCAGTAGGAGGTGTGCAGGAGGCAGCTGATCAATGTTTCTCTCTCATTGATGTTTCTAATTCTCTATCCCTCTCTCTTCTTTTCTGTAAAAAATCAATAAAATATATATTTTTTTTGCCAAAACCGGTTTGGCTCAATGGATAGAGCGTCGGCTTGGGGACTGAAAGGTCCCGGGTTCGATTCCGGTCAAGGGCATGTACCTTGGTTGCAGGCATATCCCCAGTGGGGGGTGTGCAAGAGGCAGCTGATTGATGACTTTCTCTCATCGATGTTTCTAACTCTCTATCTCTCTCCCTTCCTTTCTGTACAAAATCAATAAAAATATATTTTTAAAAAAAATAATAAATATATATATATATTTTTAAAAACGCCCTAATTTTTCATAGGTTCTAACTACCGTAGTACACGCAAAATTTACCATCCTAAAGAGGGGGGCAAAATCAAGATATTTGAAATAAAAAATATCTAAGCCCATTACAATTTTAAATAACAATGACAAAAAACACATATGCTTTATATTCTATATGAAAGACATGAACACATACTATTTTAGAAAAACAATTTGCTTTATAATGCTCATCTATTAACTCATTACTTCTACCAAATAAAGTTAAAATAACTACTACTTATTTTCTTCTCTGCAATTTATAATTTTTGTAAATAACTAGTATCACTGGTAGGTTCTGTATTTCTGCAACTATGAACATCTGGTTTAAAGAAAGATAATGACTGGCTTTTGAAATCCCAGCTCTAACTAGCATAAAACAGGGCAAACAAGGTAAATTACTGGCTATGTTTATCAAACAATTAACTGAGAATCTCAAAAGTACTTAGAGATAACTTTTTTTAAAAATGGGTATCATGATAGTCACTATCCCTTTTCTTTCTTTTCCATTTTTTTCTGAAATTCATTCCAGTTCTTATTCTCCAAGGCTATCTAATGAGTACTTACATCAATGATTGCTGCCGCACTGCTATCTAGATGTTTATACAATTCATATAATACTTCTCTTAGTTTCTTCATTGTTTTCTTATTGGGCTGAAGTAGCATTGCTTGGAAGTTCACTGGCAAGCCATACCTTATAAGGAAGCAAAAATATAGTATGTAACACAAGCACACACACAGACTTTATTGTGAAAACCAATGTTTTCATACTCTCCTTTAACCACAGCTAATGGGGAGATGGTACCTCATTTTACAAGTTCAACTAATAATCAAAGAAACTCAAGCCTTCTCTGGTCCTCATTGTCCACTAGATATTCTTCTCTAAAATGAAAGCCAATTATCTATTAGGAATTACTTTAATGACTCTTCAATCTTTAAGAGAACCTATGAATAAAATAGTGATAATGTGTAAACTTAATGAATACTTACAAGATAAACAATATGAGATTACCCACATCTACTTTGAAAATTCAAAATAATTTTAAAATAGCATAGCTGAGGATAAGTCTGTAATAATTTCTGAGTAACATGTACAGAGGATCACAAGATGATTTAGATTTTATGTCAAAACTAGAGGCCCAGTGCACGAAATTCATGCACTGAAGGGGTGTCTCTCAGCCCACCCTGAACCCTCTCCAATCTGGGACCCCTCGGGAGATGTCTGACTGCTGACAGTTGGACATCCCTTTCAATACTCGACTGCTGGCTCCTAACCACTCGCCTGCCTGCCAGCTTGATCACCCTCTAACCATTCCCCTGCCAGCCTGATTAACATCTAACTGCTCCCCTGCCAGCCCAATCACTTCCAATTGCCCTCCCCTGCTGGCCTGATTTTGCCCTCAACTGCCCTCCCCCTGAAAGCCTGGTCTCTCCCAACTGCCCTCCTCTGCTGGCCAATTTGGTTCTGATTGGTTGGTTTCTATGCCATTCAGCGTTAAAATCTCTGCCTCCAAGGCAGTCATTGGCTCCTCACACTTTACCCAGATTTGGTTCTGATTGGCCAATTTCTATGCCAGTCCACTTCTCTGGGCCTATCAACGGGGCCTGATCAGAAAGGCGGGGCTGATCACCAGCCCTGGTGGAGGCCTGGAGAGAAATGGAGGTGTAGCTGCTGACCAGGCCGGGGAGAGAAAGAGAGAGGCAAGTGCTGATCAACATCTGCCAAAGAGGCTAGGGATCAGACCCTGCTTCTCTCTTCAAGCCTCTTTCTGGGCTGATTTGCAGCCCCCTCAGCAGCCACAGCAACCCAGCGCTGACTGCAGGACTGACTTCCAATGGGTTGAGCCTCTGGTCGTGGTGGACGCAGAGTTTTTATATATTAGGATATTAAATATTATAGATTAAATAAAACAATGATTTCAAATAAGTCATTAGTATACTGTGTATAACATGTAAATACCTGAAAGATCTCTTTTAAGCAAATACTGGCTAATACTGTATGACCTACATTTAACTTAAATACATGAGAAGAGCCGGGACCGGTTTGGCTCAATGGATAGAGCGTCGGCTTGGGGACTGAAGGGTCCCAGGTTCGATTCGGTCAAGGGCATGTACCTTGGTTGCAGGCATATCCCCAGTAGGGGCTGTGCAAGAGGCAGCTGATTGATGACTCTCTCTCATCGATGTTTCTAACTCTCTCTCTCCCTTCCTCTCTGTATAAAATCAATAAAATATATTTAAATACATGAGAAGAGAACCTGAGAGTACAGCAGCAGGGAGCTCTTGTCCTAAGCCAGTGTTAAGGGACACAACTCACACACATGCAATAAGCTGGGTGACACAGCCTCTCCTCGCGATTGGCCCTCTGGTTTCTACAAGTCAATTTCCTATTACTGGACGGTGTGTTATAACAAAGGGGGCCAATATAAAGGCTTCTATAAGCTCTTCAGATCCAAGTTTCTGAATTAACTTTTTTTTTTTTTTTTTTACCTTAAAACAGACTCTACAAAAACCCTCAATGCTTTCACATGAATCCACGCAATAAATGCTTCACTGAAATTCACTTTCAGCCACCGCACAAGTGGTCCCTATAAAAGAGGAAAAAATTACCACAAATCTGGTCTTGAAAATGGCAAGTAGGAATTAGATGAACCCATTGGCTTTATTAGATATTACCTGGTTAGGGTTAGTTTTCTCCCAACTAAGATAATATGGTTTATAAAGTGAAACTTGCTTTTCTTTTCTCTTTCATTACAAGAGAAACACCTTTTTACTAGTCCCGTCTCCCCTTCCACACAATCTTTTGGTCTTCACAATAGTCTGATATTTGAAGATGGCAAGAAAGTGGACACCAAAATCATTCCTGTTCCCATTTTGCCTAGAACATAACAATTCTCCAGTGGTTTCAATAAGTTGCTTCAGTAAAACATTGTGGCATTAAAAAAATTTGCCTCAAAAAATCTTTCTACTGGAAAGAGAAAGCTACTACTTAAATAACACTTCCACCACAGAGGTTCTAACCAAAATGCTACATTTAAAATTAATTTCTGATATGGACTAAAAGGAGTAATTAATTTTAGGTATGTATTTTAAGACAACTACACAAATCTCAGCTTTAGAGAAAATTTATTCTGATTATTTAATAGAAAAAATACTTAAAATCAAATGTCTTAAAAGCAAAATAGGAGTATTGCTTCCTTTTAAATAAAATAAAAGCAACATCAGATTTTCTTCTGCTTAACATGGCTAATGCTAAATGTTAAGAATACATACAAATTGCTTCTTCTTGTCAGTAGAAAGCCTGTTCATTTCTTCTTTATCTGCTTTCATCTCCTCTTCATTATACTGGAAATCACGAACAATGAATCTAAACGTGGGGGGAGGAAGGGGGTGGAAACAAAATTGTCCACACTGGTGTACAGGTGATGTAACAAGATAAAAAAGACAAACAGAAAAAATAATAATCTTACTTGTTTTCCCTGGCTTTGTGTCTGAAGTCATCAACTGCCTTCCTAAACAAGGTGACGTTACAAAGGTAGCTGTCTTGGTCCTCTGAGAGCACACTATGGGAAGAAGACAAAGTCCGAGTAAAGCTTATGTTGATTTGTTCCCTTTGATAGTGAAGACAGAATTCAGAAACACAGAGGAGGAGGACGAGGAGCCCTCCCACCATCTCAATGCTGTCCGTCTGTATTGCCCCAAACACTGAGGACACTGCGTCTTGGACGTTTGTACTCACCGTAACAGCCCTGTATGACATCTACTGCATCCTAAGCGATATTACACAGTAACTCAAGGAGAGCACCCACACACTAATCCACATCGGGGCCAGGCTGGCCGAGGCCGCCGTCCAGCAGCTGGGCTGTTTCCAGTCTCCTCGCTTCCTCGCTGCATCCTCTTCTCTTCTGGAAACCTAACCCTCTCTCCAGGCCAGCCCAACCCCTGGGGCCTGGCGCACCCTCTGTCCTGCCAGAACCTCCCACCTCAGTTCTTTCCTTTTCTCCTGGCACACTCTACATCAAAAACTAACACAGGCGTCTAAATAACCTCTGAAAAACACACTTTCATGCATCTCAGGGCTCCATATTAGGCTTTTTAAATTTTTTATTTTTACTGATATCAGAGAGGAAGGGAGGGAGAGAGAATCATTGATCGGCTGTCTTGCACAGCCCCAATGAGGATTGAACCTGCAACCTCAGCATGTGCCCTGTCCTGGAATCAAACCGTGACCTCCTGGCTCATAGGTCCATGCTGATCGGGCCATGTTAGGCTTTAGAACGGGGGTGGGGAACATCTGGCCAGGGGGAATCATTTGGTCTGGCCCTGATGATTGGAGGCGAGTTAATTAAATGTTTGGCCAAATACTAGTATAGCAGGCTAATCTGTATGGCCCGTGAATGAGGCTATAAATATCCAAATGGGCCTTGGCTAGAAAACGTGCCCCACCCCTGCTTCAGAAGCTCCCCGAGAGATTGGCACGTCCACCCAGTCAAGCTCTCAGGGACGTCACTGAAAGACCTGCCATCTGCCCTGTTTCCAGTCCTCCTGCCTGCTTCACTGTCAAGACACCTTCCCTGGCTTTCTTCATAAAAGTGGCCTCTGCCATCTCTGTCCCGAAACGAGAGAGAGAGAGTCCTCTGCACAGAGGCCAGTGGGCCTTCTCTGGGCCTTCCCAGCGAGGCTCCGGTGCCCACCCGAGCTCTCGCTCCGTGAATTAAAAGCTCTAGGAAGCAGCAATGAGTTTGTTTCTAACAACAGAGGCAGAGGTGAACCAGTGACCTGACCCTTTCACATCACCTTAACAAGCAAAAGCGGACAGACAAAAGGGAAAGTGGTGATTCTGAAAGTACAAATGCTAAGTACCTCTCTCTGAACTGCTTTTATTTTACACAAGAAGCAGAACAGCAGCCCAGTCTCCACGTTCTTGGCTGTAATACTGACATGGCATTTCTATACATCCATGCACATAAATCACAGTAATGGCAATAGTTCATATTGTCCAATACCTGAAGACTTTAGGTAGAATAGCTAGTTTATGTATTTTTTAATCTATTTTTATTGATTTCATAGAGGAAGGGAGAGGAGAAGAAAGAGAAACATCAATGATGAGAGAGAATCACTGATTGGCTGCCTCCTGCACCCCTCTGCCCCCTTACTGGGGATCAAGCCCCCAAACCAGGCATGTGCCCGACCAGTAATGAAACCGTGACCTCCTGGTTCCTAGGTTGACACTCAACCCCTGAACCATACGAGTCTCGATTTTATGCATTTTCTATTCCAACAAACTGAACAACCTGGAGGAAATGGACATATTCCTAGAAAAATACAACCTTCCAAAACTCAATCAGGAAGAATCTAAAAATCTCAATAGAGCAGTGACTTAGGAAGAAATTGAAACAGTCATCAAAAAGCTTCCAGCAAACAAAAGCCCAGGGCCAGATGGCTTCACAGGAGAGTTTCTTCAAGGAAGAACTAAAACCTATCCTCCTCAGACTAGATTTTATGCATTTTTAAATGAATGTTTCTTTCAGGTTTGAGATAGTATTTTTCAACCTATTCTTCTACCTCAGAATTCCACTTGCATCTTCACTCCTCCCAAGTATCATGCCAAAAAGCCACAAGCATTACTGCTTATAACTGAGTTAAAAATAAAGCACTTAGAACAATGACCAGCACGTTGTCATTTACTCCAAAATGTTAGCTATTATGAAAACCAAAACACCCAGCATCGAGCCACAGAGACCTTTCCTAAACAGCGGACAGGATTCCAGACTAACCACCAAAGCCCGTCTCCCCACGGGCACTGACCTTCCACCCTTGTCCTGGTGCTGGCTGCACGGCTGCTCTGCTCTTGACTATATTTAGACAGTAAGTTTTCAAGTCAGTGATTCCAAATGACTGTTGAGCTGAGAAGCAGAGTAGAACAGACTCTTCACTGGGTGAGGAGGGGCTGGGACGCTCAGGTGGTCATGAGCACTTGCAGGCCGTACAGAAGACTGGAATTGCCTGGGCTAACCTGTTCCTGTCTGAGAGAGAATCATTGAAGGGCTGCCTCCTGCACGCCCCACACTGGGGATCGAGCCCACAAGCCAGGCATGTGCCCTGACTGGTAATCAAACCAGTGACCTCCTGGTTCATAGGTCAATGCGCAACCACTTAGCCACACCAGCCGGGTTCTAAAGTAATATTTGACAGTCCTTCCTTTAGAATAATTTAGGATTTACTTAAACTAGCCTACACACTACTCCCCTGCAGCCCGGGCTTGGCATATGTACAACTTGGGGGGACACACCGTGTGTATGGGGTCCTTCTTCTCCTCCCTCCCTGCCTCCCAGACAAAGTCAGCCCCTGTGGGGGACACACCGTGTGTATGGGGTCCTTCTTCTCCTCCCTCCCTGCCTCCCAGACAAAGTCAGCCCCTGTAGCTTTAATGCCCTACAGAGCACAGAGGTCTAAGAGGTGTGATCTCTCAGGATAAAGAGCTTCAGTGGAAAACTAGTGTCAAGACACACGAGTCTTCAGTTTACCAAGGGGAGGGCTGGTGTGAGTGAGAGGGATAGCTCCCCCACCCTCACCATGCTCCCTCCAAAAGAATGTTTCATGATGAACACTGGTTTGTGGTTTAGATCTCAAAAAAATCAACATCTGACCCAGCTGGTGTGGCTCACTAGTTAAGTGTCGACCTATGAACCAGAAGGTCACGGTTTGATTCCTGGTCAGGGCACATGCCCAGGCTATGGGCTCGATCCCCAGTGTGGGCTGTACAGGAGGCAGCCAATCAATGATTCTCTCTCATCATTGATGTTTCTATCTCTTCCTCTCTCCCTTCTTCTCTAAAAGCACTAAAAACATGTTTTAAAAAATTCTGCCCTAGCCAGCTTGGTTCCAGTGGATAGAGCATCAGGCTGCAGACTGAAGGGTTCCAGGTTCGATTCTGGCCAAGGGCACATGCCTGGGTTGCGGGCTCGATCCCCAGCAGGGGGCATGCAGGAGGCAGTTGATCAGTGATTCTCTTTCATCATTGATGTTTCTATCTCTCTCTCCTTCTCCCTTCCTCTCTGAAATCAATAAAGAAATATATTTAAAAATAAAAATAAATAAATAAAAATTTAAAAGAACTTCTAGAAGGTAGCAAAAGACCTGGGTTCTACTGCTGGCCCTGCATTAACAGATGTGTGACTCTGGACAAACCACCTCACTTCTGTGGCCTCAAATGTCTATACCAGTAAACATGAGGGGGTCAACCAGATTGTGCAACCCCAGGTCTAAAAGTATGACAGCTGGAGTTAATGTAACTCCTCAATAAGGTGAAAAAGATGATTCTAAAATATAAATGTATCACAAAGGAAAGACATAAAGGCATTTCCTAACTCAACAACCAAACTGTAAAAGGAATTCTAGGAAAGAAACGGGTTTTACAAAGACTCCTACTTACTTGCTAGACCTGGGAACGACCATCTCGGCAAGCGTTTCATACTGCTTCATCCAGTCGTTGTGGTTTAACCTGCAGGAAAGGCACAGTAAGTACTGGAGGAAAGCAAGTCCTACCTCCTGCCATACTCAGGGAGAGAAAAAGGAAGGGACAAACAGGAACTGTGGCTAGAGTAAGTATACGTCAAACCTATTCAATAAAATCTACAAGTGTCCTCCTGAGAATGAATTTCAAATACACTTGTTGAGTGAAATGGGAACTACATTGCGTCCAGAAACTATTGCAAAGCAGACATAGCCCTGGACTAAGCTTAGCAAGGAAGTAAGGCAAAGTATAGATTTTCAACTCCTTTCAAACGTTAGGGTTGAAGTCTGTTACCTCATTTTTAAAGAAGAAAGAAAAAGGCCACGCATGACAAACCGCAATCATTTCTTTTCAGGGCCATTAAGAAAGGCTGGAAGAAGTTATATTTACTGAAAGCACAGAGTACCAGGAAGTGTTCGGTAAATAAAGGGAACAGCAAAGTATGCTGCCACAGCAAATTGTGCAACACCCTTCTCTAAGAACACTGGCTTTTGGGGGTGTGGGGAGTGATTTTTGTCTGTAATTTACAATAAAGAACTTCAGTGCTTGTAGACCAGGACAGAAAAGAATTCACTGTTTAAGGTGCTTATGTTCTACGTTTCAGTTACAGTGTACAGAAAACTATGAAAACCTTTGGCTTTAAACACCAATTTCAAATAAAGGTTAAATGAGACCAGTCTTTTTTCTGGGCAAAGGTATTTTCCTGTATATTATAAAAACACAAATACACAGAAACTGATAATCATCAGTGTTCCAGTACAGCAGGATGAGTTACACAACTCACATACAAAACACAACTTCTGGAGCCCTTAGTTTCTGTGTTGTGTGTTTTTTCAAACTAGGTAATTAGCCTTCCTTTTACTTTAATTTTGTTGCTGTTGTTAATCCTGACTTGAGGATATTTTTTCCATTGCTTTTCTGAGAGAAGAGAAAAGGAGAGAGAGAGAAACATCGATGTGAGAGAGACACACCAATTGGTTGCCTCCCGCATGAGCTCTGGAAACTGCAAATCTTGACCAGGGAATTGAACCTAGCACCCTTCAGTGCTCAGTCCAATGCTCGAACTACTTAGCTACACCAGGCAGGCAGGACCCAAACTCTTAGTTTTAAGCTCTGCTCCATAGGCAAAGAATACAATCTTCAGTAAAGGGGGGAAAACAGCTTTGGCCAATGTTGCTCAGTGGTTAGAGTGCCCATTTGGGCACCAAAGGGTCACAAGTTCGATTCCCAGTCAAGGACAGGTACCTGGGTAGCAGGTCTGATCCCCAGCCCTGGTCCAAGTGCAAGTATATGCGGGAGGCAACCAATCAATGTGTCTCTCTTACATCCATATTTCTTTCTCCCTCTCTCCCTTCTACTCTCTAAAAAGAAATGGAAAACATGTCCTCACGTGAAGATTAATAAAAAAGATTTCAAAGAGTTATCTAATCCAGCAAAATATGCCCACAGCCTGTGTGTGTTTTATAAAGTTTTATTAAAACATAGCCACGGCCCTGGCTGGTTTGGCCCAAGTGGTTAAACTGTCGGCCCTTGGACCAAAGGGTCTTGGATTCAATTCCTGGTAAGGGGCACCTATTTCAGTTACAAGTTCAATCCCCAGCCCAGGAAGGGGTGAGAATGGGATGGATGAATCTCTCTCATGCATCTCTCTCACATGGATGTTTCTCTCTCTCTCCCTCTCCCTTTCACTCTCTCTAAAAATCAATGGGAAAAAATATCCTCACTCCTTGGGTGAGGATTAAAAAAAACCCAGCCACATCCACTTGTGTACATACTGTGTAAATGGCAACTTTCGGTTAAAACTACCAAGTTGGTGTGGCAGAGTTGAGTAGTTATAACAGAGACCATATGGCAGGCAAAGCCTAAAATATTACTCTCTGACCCTTTACAGAAAAAATATTTTCTAAGCCGATCTATCCCATCTTTGCTTCTTTATTTTTATTTTGGAGGAGGAAGAAAGGAGAGAGCATGGAAGAAACACTGATGTGAGAGAAACATCAATACACTGCCTCCCAAAGGTGCTCCAACTGGGGATTGAACCCCCAACCCAGGTATGTGCTCTGACCAGAAATCACACCACGACCTTCATGGAACGTGCATGGAACGACGCTCCAACCAACTAAGCACGGGCCAGGGCCATTCTTTGCTTCCTACATGGTCTAATTCATCCTAGCCAATCATAAACGTTTTTCAAAAGCACAAATATAAAGAGCTTTGTATTTTGAAAAATTGAAATCTATTTTCTAAATCAAATAATTTAACATTACTTAACTTTTAATGAGCCAACTCTATTAAGCTGCTAAATTAGATATGGAATCTCAATTTATAACTGAAGTCTCAAGTTACGAACTAAATTTAGATTCTACTGTCCGAGCCACATGGGTATGCTGGTTGACAGAATGAATGACAGGTGAGAAAATCCCTTAACACTTGGATTTTATGGAAAACTTCAAATTCAAATGTCAGATACAAACATTTTTCGTGTATTTTAACAGGTAAAAAATATTTTTAATAAAAAAACATACTTGGGAACTACAACTAGTAACGTGACGAGATATTCTGAATCAAGAACAAAGTCATCCTTCTTCACAATTTCTGCGAGACTTCGAGTTAGCAAACTTCCTCTGCGGAAGAAGAAAAACAATCATTAGGTTGATAATTACACGCTCCCATAACACAAGTAAAGAAACAGCAAGCTAATTATATTCACATACACTATAAAAACATCTCAAAAGAGGCATTAGTCTAGTAAACGTTTTTACTTTATAAGTCATTAAAATATAGCTATTTCTCACCCCTGCAATGAAGGAAATGGCAACACTTATCAAAATCTACCTCTAGCGCCTGCCTTTGCGTTTGCCTCCATTATTGGAACTTGGGTCTTCTGTTGATTACATCTATAATATTTTGACTGGGAAAGTGTCATTCATTAGATATCGACTAAAATCTATTTTGTCATAATTATGAAATTTTATCATCTAGGCACAACCTGGGTTTTCCTCCCTCTCCCTGGGTATCCTTTGATACCAGGCAATTTTGGTTAGTTAACCCAGTAATCAACTCTCCCAATTGGTCTTCATTTAGTGTCCCAGCACCGAGCCTTTCATAATGAAAATGTCTTGTCTGTTTGCACCACTGACAGTATATGTATAACCAACTTTTCCTCTGGGATATAAACGCTTAACTTCAACAGTTAAGTGCTTAAAGCTACACTTGTAGTAGTAGTCATGCTACAAGGAGATCAACCAAAAGAAGTGTATTCGATTTTAAGAAAACCTAATGTGTCAAACACCTAAACTTGGAAAACAAATAAAGAACGAATATTGGATTATAAAAGAATTCCTCTATAGAATTATTTTAAGCAGATTGTGCAATTAAACTGTGATTTGATTTATAACAATTAATTTTAGACATTTTTCTACTAAATGCATACACCAGGGTTGATTGCTTGGACAGCACTCACATGTGTTATTTATGAAACAAGTGTAAAATATCAGCCTCACATCTGTTTTACCTAGACTCAATTAATACACTTTTCTCCATGAAGTGAAAAAATACCACAATGATTACAGAAACAGCTGGAACTTTACTAAACCCCAACCATATCTCATTCAGTGTATGCTAGAGTGCTTCTCTAATTCTTAATATTCACAAATACTTGATATGCTTACGCATTCTTTCGTTCCAAATTCTGAAGATTCCCTTTCAGGTTATTATATGCAGATGCTCGAGATTTCAGGTCATTGTCGATCTGAGTCACTCCCTTTAAAAATAAAATAGGCCCAGAGATGAAGCAGCATGGAACAGACTGTCGAATCTCAGAGAGAGGGTGGGTGGGTGGGTGGGTGAGAAGTGATCAACCAAAGAACTTGTATGCATGTAGGCATAACCCATGGACACAGACAACAGCGTGGTAAGGCCTAGGATAGGGGTGGGGGGCAGGGATACTTATAAGGGGTCAATGGGAGAAAAAAAGGGACACAGGTAATACTTTCAACAATAAAGATTTAATAAAAAAAAAAAATTAAAAATCAATAAAAAATAAAATAGGCAAGATTTTCCTAAATCCACCTCTACTAATACAATTAAAGTAGCTGTACTTAAACACCAACTTTAGAAAAATAACAATTAGTTCTTGATGTAAAAATATTCTATTTTAAAAGCACATCTTCACAAGGTCATGTTATAAAATAACCTATTTATTTTTAATAACCATGGTAATTTCCATATAAATCTTTTCTACTAAAGTTAGTGTGTTAGTCCACATGTATTTTAATTACTTACTGTATTACTTCTTAAACCTAAATGGAATCCAGGTCACCAGGTTTAGAGATTACTAATTAAAAGGCCTCGATTTATTCAGCTGAAGGATTAATTCCCAAAGGAACTAAATTGAAGTTTTATTTACAACTCTATTATTACTATCATTACACAAAATATAATCTGAACTGTAGTTGAATTTATTTACAAATTATAAAAAAGCTGATTTTTCAAAAAGATGACTAAAACTACTAATACTTTAGTGAGAAAACGCAGAGCAGCAAATTTCACATTTGAGCACCTTGAGTCTGAGGCCTTTGACCACTCAGCAATCCTGACAGTATTTGAAAGACTAGTTTCAACTCAGCTCTACCGTTATTAGCTTTGTGTACTGGGTAAGTCCCTTCACTGTCTCTGAGCCTGTTTCCTCATCTATATAATATAGTATCAGGAAGAAGAACACTAAATCCCTGATAAGGATTAAATGAAAAAAAGGCTCATAGTAAGAACACCATTTTAAATTATCAAACTACTCATGTTCATTGAATTTTATGACTTTAGGTAAAATCCTTGATAATCTATTCAGTTACATTTAACTATAGAGCACACTATACAAATACAGTCATTGAGGGGTAAGAAAAGTCTGTCCAAGTAGTTTAAACTATACTTTTCACTCTAGCCAGGTCATAAAAATGTTGACAAATAGCTCTTTGTCTATTGCCTCATTATAATTTCAGGTAAGACTTTTACATTTTTTTTCTCAAGCGCCTGGGCTTTGCAATATAAAAGGAGCTTTTAGCTCAGCGAGTTCATGGATGGGCTTCAGGGTCTGTGAACTCTCTGAAACTGTACGTAGACTCAAGTGGTATGTGAGCATGGCGTCCTTCTGGGTAGAGAAGCAATAATGACTGTCAGAAGGCGTCAGAGGACACATAAAGTTTAACATCTAAACCAGTACAGCACATAAACATACTTAAGTGACCATTGCCATCGACATGCCTCATAAATCCTTAATAGACTGCATTTTCCTGTTCTACAACACCCCAGTTACCCTTCAAATGTGTATAAGGAATAACTACAGAATTTAAAGATTCTTTTCTTATTTTACCATTGTTGATGCAATATTTAAATTAACTATGTAAATAAGTAAACTCACAGGTTGGATACTCTACACATGAAAGTGCACTACTTATTAACATCCTTTTTTTTTTTTTTAGTGAAGTTGTAGTCAGGGTAGCTCCTATGTGTATCAATCACCTGTAATTAAGTTGCCTTGTCAAAACCTAGTGTATTTCCATAGCTAAATGCTTATAAAATAAATGATGTATCCTACCTGTGTCATTTTTTATCTTACCTTGGCAATTATTTCAGAAATATTTTTCAGAGACTGCTTGATGGGATATTTAGCCATGTCCCACTGAAATCTTGTTATATAAGTAACCAAGTCAACTGAAATAAGGAAATAAATTAATTACTGAGGAGAAGGAATAGAATTTTTTATAGTCTGCTACACAGTAAACATTCAGATATTTGAAATTGGCATTTGGAAAATCAGTAAAGATATCTCATCATTTCTGGAATGTTCTGATTAAATAAATGTGGAACTATATTAATCAATTAATCAAAAATTTACCTTGCAATCTGATTGAATCTCTTATACTTACTCAAAAATTTTTCTTAAAATATATCTTTATTGATTTCTGAGAGGAAAGGAGAGAGAGAGAGAGGAGCATCAATGATTAGAATCATTGATCAGCTGCCTCTTGCACACACTACCCTGGGGATCGGGCCCACAACCTGGGCTTGTGCCCTGTCTAAGAATTGAACCCAAGAACCTGCAACCTATTGGTGCATAGGTTAGCATTCAGCCATCGAGTCACACTGGCCGGGCAAAATACTGCTCCAACCACACTGCTCCATAATGCTACCTCAGAATCCCTTTTGTGTGGCCAAGTGGCCTGCAGGGGCCTAGAAATTACACTACCCTCTCCCTCAATAACAGTCCAAAATAACAGCCTCCAGAGTACAATTAAGTGTAAGTTCCTGATTAAACTCTCCCTCATCCCTCCTGCCCCGGGCCTTCCCCTTGTGTACCCTTTAGATAAGGCCCTCTCCAAGTTACCAAGACCCTACTCTCTTTGGTCTCAATGGATCAATGAGGACTTGGCCCGGGAATCCCAAAGCACCCCACCCACAGAACCTATTGAAGGCATGTGTCCTGATGCTCTGGCCTGTACCTGCCTTGATCTCTCCATGGGTCCTACCTCCTCTGGGACCTGTGAGTAATAAACGTCTCTATTTCACTCTCTCTTGAGGTCTTTTGTTGAACAGTGGCTCACCATCCCAAGACATCCTAGGGCTCTGCTTAACAAATGTTAATTTAACAAAGTCACATGAGTGGCCTTATAGTAGGCAATACAGGAAAGAAGGAAAGGGAAGGGTCATTTTGCATTATAATGACATAAACTAAAGATCAGCCTAATTTAAAATAAAGCAAATGCTAAAGCGGTATTTCATACAAAACAACAAATGCAGTTCAAATGACAACAACGATGTCAAAGCCACCTTTATAAAGCCATTACTACACAGCAAACTCTGGTTTGTTTAGTAGCTTAGTCATTCACCCTGTACAGGTCAACATCCAATCCTGAGACATGAGCTTACCTCCATTTGCCAGCAGGTTCTCCTGAACTTTATCTTTACTGTCCTCCAATACGTCAGCCATATATTGGGCCACTTTTTTAACCACCCTTGGGAGAAAAGAAAATCAACAAGAATTTTCAGGGGAGAGACCCAAATTCCATGCCATAAAATGAACATATTACATAAAGACATGAAACTGACTATTTATGTTCCCATTACACATATCTATATAATATAAAACAAGTGGGTCCTAACTTCTTTAAGTAATGTTTTAAGAACAATATGGATCAAAATTTTGCTTTATGCAAAACTCAACTGAATAACCATAGAGTTTCAAAGAGACTACATGAAACATATTTATTAATCTGAAAAAGTAGCGAGAAACAATCTATAAATAGCCATCTATTATAAACTGAAAAACTGGGCAATGGATCTGCAAGGACCAAGGATAAGAGAGGAGGCAGAGAGCTAGTGAGCATTCACCAAATATATGCTTTCACTTAGGATGAAAGGGAGCAGGTAGGCAACAGGATACCAGCAACAGTAATGATTCAGCAACATTTGCAAGAAGCAATCGTATAAAGAAACCTTAGTGCCAAAACTTCTGAGGTACCTAGATATCACCCTGTCAATTTCTTCATTTTTAAAAAATATATATTTTATTGATTTTTTACAGAGAGGAAGGGAGAGAGATAAAGAGCTAGAAAGGTCGATGAGAGAGAAACATCGACCAGCTGCCTCTTGCACACCGCCCCCACCGGGGATGCGCCCACACCAAGGTACATGCCCTTGACCGGAATCGAACCCGGGACATTTCAGTCCGCAGACCAACGCTCTACCACATAGCCAAACCGGTTTGGGCAATTTCTTCATTTTATAAGAAAAGACCTCGAATTATAAAGAGAATAAGTGACTTAATCACAAAACCAGTTAGTGGCGGATTTGTGACTAGAAATGCAGTGTCTTGACTCTGCAGTCTGGTGTTCTTTCCTTTATCCAGTTGTGCCGGTAGGCCCTGGACGAAATTCAAAAGTATACAAGACAAAATCACTAACTTCACATTGCTTACAGTTGAATTGGAGAGCTACCAAAATATACAAATGACTAAATACAAAGCAATCTGTGGTAAGTGCCCAGCTAAGATTACCAAGCTATAGACAGAGAAGCATAAAGGAAAAAGGAATCACTCCCGCCGAAACCGGTTTGGCTCAGTGGTAGAGCGTCGGTCTGCGGACTGAAAGGTCCCGGGTTCGATTCCGGTCAAGGGCATGTACCTTGGTTGCGGGTACATCCCCAGTAGGGGGTGTGCAAGAGGCAGCTGATCGATGTTTCTCTCTCATCGATGTTTCTAACTCTCTATCCCTCTCAATTCCTCTCTGTGTAAAATCAATAAAATATATTTAAAAAAAAAAAAAAAAAAAAAAAAAAAAAAAAAAAAGAAAAAGGAATCACTCCCAACTACTGTAACCAAGAAGCACATGGCTCCTGAAATGGGTAACGAATGGTTTTGAAAGAGTGACTAGACACGAAGAAAGTATACTCTTGCCACAGGGCATCACATGAGTCAAGAACAGGAGAGATAGAAAAGCAACAGGCAGTCAGAGAATGATGAGCAGTCCAGCCTGCCTGGAATGTCATGATGGGGACAAGGGGATGTTATGCTGGGAAGGTAGGCTGGGCCAGGCTGCAGACAGATAGCCGCTGAAGTCGGACTTCAGAGAGAGGGATAACATGGTCAGAACAGGGCTCGGACAATCTGATGACGGTGTGCTCAATGGCAAGAAGGGTAAACTGGAAGACAAATTCAGAAACTCCTGCACAAGAACCGATAATAAGGACCAGAAGAATTGACAGAAGGGTTAAATTTGAATGACCTCAACCTAAGAAAGTGGAAATTTCAGAAAAAAACATGCCATAAATCTTCAACATGTTTAACCTGAAATTTGTACATACACTTGGCTGTGTCTCCAAAATTCACCCATTCCTTCAAAGGAGACAAACTATTATTCCCCTATAAGTTAACAAGTATCTTTTAAACAGAACCATTGCTATGAACATTCAAAAATGTGCATGTGTTCATGGTTGATAAAAATATAGTAAGGTTGATTATGGTGATGACTGCCCAACTCTGTGAATATACTAAGAATCAATGCATTGTACATTTTAAATAGGTTCAATTCACATAGCATCACACTTCGAATAGATGTATTTTATTATATAGAAATTATCTATATATATATATAAAAGCCTAAGTGGTCATTCAATCATTCGCTATGACATGCACTGACCACCAGAGGGCAGATGCTCAATGCACAGGCCTGGAAACATGGAAAGGACTGATGAATCTTAGAGGGAAAGGGGGAGAGGGGAGGGAGGGAAGAGATTAACCAAAAATCTTACATGCATACTAGAGGGTGCACCGGAGGAGTCCCTTGGCCTGGGCCCCACAAAGGGTACTGGATTGCAAGAGGGTGGAGGTCAGGCCGAGGGACCCCACCAGTGCACAAATCCGTGCACCAGGTCTCTAGTTCATCATAAAGTCGATTGCAAAAAAAAAAAAGTCAACATTTCTAAAACCATTCCAATAAGCACAGTATCCACATGTGATAATAAACCAAATGTCCAATAGCCTGGTAACAATGACTCTCATTTTGCTCTAGTCTGTGAATATAAGTACATTACCCTTCTACAAATGCATCCAGTTTAGCCAGTTCATCCGACAAACCAACCAAGACATCCAGTGTGCCAACCTAGAGGGGCAATATAGCATTTTATTAGGTTTCTCTCGCTCTCCTTTTTTTTTTTCTTACAAGATGGTACAACATTTTAATTTGAAGGGCCCACAAACTTAAGTTCTCCTTTTTTAATTTCATAATGTGCAAGTGTGGTTAAAAAATGTTTGCTAGACATTTCAAAACTATTACATGTACAAGATAATCCTCTAATGCAGGGGTATAACCACTGTTTAAGACATGACAATTCTGCAAAGGCAGGCCTATGCCTCTGCTTGTCCTGCCCAGGGACGGTGGATAGACTGAAGCCAGGGTTTATACAACAGCAGCTCTTAAGCACAGGTCCGTGACTGCATTAGTTAGAGGGTCTGTTACTGAATTTATATGCAAAACTGTGTGTGTGTAAATGAGCATGTTTTGGAGGAAATGTCCTAGTCTATACCAGTGTCTTGAAGGAATTTATACCTCCCAAAATATATGTGAAATCTTTTCATAAGATTTCTCATTACAATTTAAATTACAATTTAGAAAAGCATAAATGTTTAGAAGAAACATTTTGTTTAGGTAGCTCACTTCTAAAATCTCAACTTACTTATAATCTAAAATCTAAAGATTGGAAAGAACAAGAACAGGTTTTAAATTATGCCAATGGTTAGAGAAGGAACCTGAATACCTCATTTCTACCAAAGGGGAAGCAGAGACACAGTGTCCCTCCTTTCACGATGGTGCTGCAGAGTGCAGTTTTACCTTTAAGTCAGGAATGTTGAACTTTGAACTAACAGCAAGATTATTGCTCTTTGTAGTTGCCGCATGCAATTTCTCCCACGTTTGTTGACATGTTTTCTCCCCAGGAGCCGAAATAAGCCAGAATTCAGTCATGTTTGTTACCAGGTATCGTTTCCAAAATCAACAGAGACTCTGAAATACAAAGTAAAACAAAACAAGATTTAATATCGTTTGCTTCTAAAACATTTCAGAGTCCCAGAATTAGTGATTAATATAACCTATTTCAAAACTAATCTATCACTGACATAGGATCGCAAAGTCAAAATTACTTACTTGGAAGTAAATCCACATAAATGGTAAAAGGTGATGTATTCGTCTACACTAATAAAAGAGAAACATGCTAATTGACCATACCTTCATGATGCCCACCAGCCAATCAGGAGTATGCAAATTAAACCAACAAAGATGGCGGGTTAATTTGCATACCCGGGCTCTAAGCAGTCAGGGGTGGGGCTGGACACTTGCCTCGTTGCCATGGTGAAGATGCAGGTGTTCCACACCACCCCAGCCACTTGGGGCCTCTGGGCAGCGTGGGAAGGCAGAAAGGTGGCTCTGGGCCAGAGCGTAAAGGTGGCTCCAGCCAGAGCAAAGGCGGAGCTGGCAGCCACGGAAAGGAAGGCCCAATTATGCACGAATCTTTGTGCATCAGGCCTCTAGTGATAATATAAAAGAGAAAATAAACACCTAATACATTAAGTATCTAATTTTTTTAAAAATTACAAAACATCCTTAAAGGGGAATTATTTAAGAAGATAGACCAAAATACCAACCACCAATAGTTATATTCCATGAAAATCAGTCAGTCAAATATTTTTAAGTTTCTCTTAAACTTTTAAAGCATGAAATAAAATAAAAAACAACATGCTGCCCTAGCCAGTGTGGTTCATTTGGTTGGAGTGCTGTCCTGTGCACTGAAAGGTGGTAGGTTTGATTTCCAATCCGAGCACATACCCACGTTGCAAGTTCCATCTTCAGTTGGCGGACAGGAGGCAACTCATCCATGTTTCTCATATTGATGTTTCTCTCTCTCCCTCTCCTTTTCCCTCTCTCGCACAACAATAAAAACATATCCTCAGGTGAGGATTAAAAAAAATTAGTTTAATATGCATAAATTGAATCAATGCAAATATAATTGTTACACCTGGCTTAGCAAATCCTACATAGTTAGCCAAATTGGGGTTAATTTTAATCCATATTCAACCTCAGGAATTCTGCTCAAATCCCTGGCATATACTTAGCTGCCATAAAACATTTATATATTTGCAAAAGAAAAAGAAAGAAAAATCTTGACAAGCAGCCCTCCATTTAAAAATATGACCTTAGGGTTGGGGTGGAGGATACAACACTATTGGATCTGAGTGAGAAAGAGGGGTAGATCTCCTTTTTCAGCAGTTCCAGTCCCATTAAGATACAACCACTGTTCTGGGCACATCCCCAGTAGGGAGTGTGCAGGAGGCAGCTGATAGATGCTCCTCTCTCATCTATGTTTCTAAATCTTTATCCCTGTCCCTTTCTCTCTGTAAAAAATAATAATAATAATAATAAATAAATAAAATAGACACAATCAACCCTATTCTACAGTCTTTCTTCCTCCCCCTTTTCCTTCCCCCCTCTCATACACACACACACACACACACACACACACACACACACACACACACAAACATGAAAAGTACAGAGCCAAATGTTTTCAGGATCTAAGTAGAAAAGCACACAAACCAAAAGGAACTCATAAAAATGAAAATATAGCTGAAACCGGTTTGGCTCAGTGGTAGAGCGTCGGTCTGTGGACTGAAAGGTCCCGGGTTCGATTCCAGTCAAGGGCATGTACCTTGGTTGCAGGCACATCCCCGGTAGGGGGTATGCAAGAGGCAGCTGGTCGATGTTTCTCTCTCATCGATGTTTCTAGCTCTCTATCTCTCTCCCTTCCTCTCTGTAAAATATCAATAAAATATATATTTTTTAAAAATGAAGATATAATAGTATCATTATTTCTACTTTAATATGCCTTCATTAAAACCACTTTTAGCTTTCTACTACCACTGCTGGTTTAACCTGTCCTGAAACTTGGACGCTATCTCAGATAGAAGATAACTATCTTACAAAGTTGTCTTGATAACAAAATCAGATAGTGAACTTTATAAAGAACTTGATAAATTTAAATGACCTTTAAATTGTAAATTATAGTTCATCATAATGAACTTTCATAATTTCAGAAGCCCATTGCAATTAAAGTAACCCTACGTAGTCATTATGCAATTGAAAGTGAACTTAACATAGATGCCATTCTATATGTTTGGGTGTATGTTTTGTTTTTTAACTTCATCTTTTAGAGCATCTGCATTACACCAGGTACTGGCCTGAAGTTTTTATGCATTATTATCCCAGTCATCCCAACACTTCTATGAAATACATATCACCCTACCCACTTACAGATAAGAAACTCAGAGAAGGTAAACTGGTGTTAAGTTTAGACAAGTCAAGAATTTGCACTCTAAGATGTCTTTTCCAGCAGTACTGATAAAGCTGCATAAAAGGCTATAATCGAATGGCCAACAAACTAAACCCAGACTTGTTAGTGATGGCTAGACCAGACAAAGCACTTGGTCCGGCCAGAAAACGGTACAACTTAACTGGCTGACCAAGGATGGGAGCCACTCAAAGCACCGGTTCCAAGGAGGCCATTCAGAGAGAAGCTGCGACTTAAAACAAAAGCAAAACCAAAATCCTCAATAGCCTACATGAGAAGCTTCAAATGTTAAACTTCAAAGCTACTATTACATAAACACTAGAGGCCCAGCGCATGAGTCTCATGCACGGGGGCAGGAAGGGGAGTAGGGGGGGAGATGGGGCCTCAGCCCAGCCTGTGCCCGCTCCGGTCTGGGAGCCCTCGGGGGATGTCCCTCCGCCTCCACTGGGCTCGCCAACCTTGAGCCGGCGTCTGGCTGAGTGGCACTCCTCCTGAGCGACTGCCCCTGGTGGTCAATGCAAGTCATAGTGACTGGTTGTTCCAGTCGATATGCATGTTACCCTTTTATTATACAGGATCGGATAAGTCTACCCATATTCTTTTTCAAAACCTGACTTTTTCACTTACCCTGTTTTTAGAATGATTCATGGTGATTCATATAGATGTAGTTCATGAATTTTAAACGCTATATGGTATTTTATAAGCAAACTGAAATTCAGCCGAAACCGGTTTGGCTCAATGGATAGAGCGTCGGCCTGGGGACTAAAAGGTCCCAGGTTCGATTCCGGTCAAGGGCATGTACCTTGGTTGCAGGCACATCCCCAGTGGGGGGTGTGCAGGAGGCAGCTGGGCGATGCATCTCTCTCATCGATGTTTCTAACTCTCTATCCCTCTCTCTTCCTCTCTAAAAAATCAATAAAATATATATATATTTTTAAAACAAACAAAAAACTAAAATTCATTATCCATTTTCCTCTGAAAGATAGTTATATTGTCTTACTTTCTGGCTATGATACACAAGTCTGCAGTGCACAACTCTGTACTGCAAGTCTCTGTTTTTGTGAGTTTCTCCGGGACAGAGAGGAGTAAAACAGCTGAATTGAAGAGTATGATAATGTGGTAGAAATTTTCTCAAAAACGAAGGCTTGCTTTGACCAACAAAACACATGGAAGCCGCACTATTACAAGTTCAGGGCCCAGGCCACGAGAGACCTTGAAACCTCAACTTAAGTTTACTGGGTGGCTGCCCTCAGACCACCATGGAAGGAGGCCAGTCTAGCCCACTGTGCGACTAGAGGCCACAGGGCAGAGGAACAGCACTGGGGCTGACAACCAGCACAAACTGGCAAACACGTGAGCGAGGCCATCTTGAAGCTTTCGGCCCAGCCAGTGTCCCAGCGGAATGCAGGCCCACCAATGAGCACAGGTGAAACGAGCCGAAGAACCAGAGACCGCCACAGAACCAGGAGAAATAAGAAATCACTGTGCCAGGCACTACATTTTGGGGTGGTTTGTTATGTGTCATGAGATAATTGACAAAGAGCAACGTCAATTCTATGGGGTATTGCCAAACTGTTCTCCAAAGCAATTACCAACATAACTTCCCATATAATGGTATACATTGTTCATAACTATATGCTTACAGAAAGCACAAAAGCATGCATAAAAGGGGCTTCTTTAGTTGTTTACATAAGACATTATTTCTTTAAAAAAAAAACATTTGGGGTAAATACAACAAAATGTAATATCTGTTAAAACTGGGTAGTGGGTACATGGCTGTCTATTAATCTAAACTATTTCAACGTTTCCTGTATACTTGAAATATTTCACAATTAAATATTTAAGATGTTACAAGAATTTATGATAAATTAAATAGAATACTTAGCAAATTTATAAAAAATACAAGTTTCGCGAAATTTCAAATGGAATAGCCAGAGAATAGTCTAGTTACCAGATGATTCCTCCAAGCACAACTTTTCTGGTTTTAACTTTTCTGTTTTTTGTTTGTTTTTAGTATTTTTTAAAATCAATTTCATAGAGGAAGGGGGGGAGAGAGAAATATTAATGATGAGAGATAATCACTGATCAGCTGCCTCCTACACGTCCCCCAGGATCGAGCCTGCAACCTGGGCCTGTGCCCTGACCGGGAATCGAACCGTGACCTCCTGGTTCATAGGCCGATGCTCAACCACTGAGCCACGTCGGCCGGACAACTTTTCAGTTTTAACCCTAGCTTTCTAAAACGTTTATACCCTCTTATAACCAAGTGTAATATATTGAACACAACCTTTCTTGATGTTTCAGGATTTTTTTAGGAAGTATTTTTGGGCCCTGGCCAGAGTTGGTCAGTGGTCTGGGCATCATCCCATGCACCAAAAGGTTGCCAGTTCGATTTCTGGTCAGGGCATGTGCCTGGATCGTGGGGTCGATCTCCATTAGAGGTCATGCTGATCAATGTTTCTTTTTTTCTATTCCCTTCCTCTAAAAAAATTTTTTTAATTTAACTTAAAATGTAAATTCCTAATGAAATGGTGTGGGTCTACCCCCTGCTTTCCTGTCATCCCTTTTCTCTACTGCAACACCCGGGGCACCTCACATAAGCTGCTCCAATACTTGCTACCTT